CTGTAGAATACTTTATTTTTGCTTGGAATTTATTTTCGCTATTTTCGCTGAAGACATGATTCCGTGAAAATAAAATCCAGCGAATATACTTTTTTTCCTATATTTTCTATTAAACTCATCAAAAATCAGTGAAAATAAATTCTAAGCAAAACGCCCAAAAAGCCTTTTCAGTGAAAATTAATTCCAGCGAAAATAAAGTATTCCACAGTAACATGCATTGTGTGTATGTATGCATTAAATTACCATAATGCCATTATGATAGGAAGATGGTCACACATTGATTTTGTTAGAACAGTAAACTTGCATCTCTATATGGTAGAGCCATTTTGGAGAAATTCAAAGTTGTCTAGTAAGTACTGAGAGATTTTATGAAGACCACACAACACAACACACAATTTTTATGTAAATACGTATCATTTTGATTCATTTCAGGTTCAATTACCGATCAACGCATCATCTAGTGACAAATGGTTTTTATAATTTTCTAAATTGGTTTGATGAGAGAGCATGGTATCCACTCGGAAGAATCGTTGGTGGAACGGTGAGTAGCTAAAAGACACAATGTTTATTTAGCGTCCGTTCTGTAATAGCTTTTACGGATACTGTAATAGCTCTTTGCGTAATGCATGCACTTACGAAATGACAGGTATGTCTGTGGTCAAGTTACCATACAGTCCTGGCATAACTTTACCTCTAATCTGACTATCAATTGGCTTTGCCCTTTCATAACAAATTATAATATTTGAAATAAGTGTCATTGTCACTAATAGTTTCAACTGATTTTTAGTACATGTGATATTCACCTATGTTGCTAATATGAGACATATTTGTAAGGATTAGTCTGCGTAGTTTAGATATGCGGAAGTTTTTACGAAGCGTTCCGTTGATAGAGGGCATGATTTAGGGAAATGATGTGTTAACAGATTATCCTCGGGGGCAGACATCCGGGCATTTTCTACCGCCTGGCAACCCTCGCGGTGAAAACAAAGACCCAAAACTCGCAGAAAACGGTACTTTGCAATGGTTGTTGAGAGTCCCCTGAACAGTGTAACAAGATTAGCCCTACGTGTGTAACATATATAAATTTGGTTGTTCAGGATTACTTCACAGTTGAGTTTGTGTTGTTTTTTCGAGTTTTCACCGGCTCCACCGGCGTTCCACAGCAGCACGCACAAAGCCAATAGAAATACGTGGTGCAGTGGTGCGCGTCTTAGCAACGTAGAACGTCCGTGACGTAGCTTCGCCCCCGAGGATAGGGCCTTTGATGGGTTTATATACCACAATTTGTTTTCTAGGCACAAATACAATACTGATAATTTATTCTCAACAAAAGTTTCTTTTTAGTGATGACCTCGATATAAGAACGAGTTATATATTTAACTATTTTAATTTTTTTGATGCAGATGAAGTCCATAATGGAGATTATTAATTTCCATTCTGTCTGTCTGGTCAACTATTTATGATATTGTTTTTTTTCAGGTCTATCCCGGTTTGATGATGACGGCTGGCGGCATCCATTGGGTGTTGAATGCATTGAATATACCAGTGCACATCAGAGATATGTGTGTATTCTTAGCACCACTATTCAGGTAAATATTTGACCTATCACATCAGAGATATGCATATATTCTTAGCACCACTATTCAGGTAAAAATTTGACCTATTACATCAGAGATATGTGTGTACTTAGTTCCACTATTCAGGTAAATATTAGACCTATCACATCAGAGATATGTGTGTATTCTTAGCACCACTATTCCAGTCACAAGTTGACTCCCCTAAACTATGACGAGAAAGGACTTTTCTATCAATATACTAATTTTGTACATTGTGTAGTTTGAACTTTGTTGCACTTGGAAGTTGTAGTAAATACTGAACTGTGTAGTATAATCATATTTTTTCATTATTTCAGTGGTTTAACAGCACTAGCCACGTACTTGCTAACTAAAGAATTATGGAACGCCAGTGCTGGACTTCTAGCAGCAGCATTCATCTCAATAGGTAAGTTGAATAGAACAGTATTTACATCCAACAACACACTAAATTATGCTACACCACACAATGCAACTTCATGTTATGCAATGCCACACCACAATATGCCAATCCATGTAATGCCATGCCATGTAATGCCAATCCATGTAATGCCAATCCATGTAATGCCACACCACAATATGCCAATCCATGTAATGCCATGCCATGTAATGCCAATCCATGTAATGCCAATCCATGTAATGCCAATCCATGTAATGCCAATCCATGTAATGCCAATCCATGTAATGCCAATCCATGTAATGCCAATCCATGTAATGCCAATCCATGTAATGCCAATCCATGTAATGCCACACCACAATATGCCAATCCATGTAATGCCATGCCATGTAATGCCAATCCATGTAATGCCAATCCATGTAATGCCAATCCATGTAATGCCAATCCATGTAATGCCAATCCATGTAATGCCAATCCATGTAATGCCAATCCATGTAATGCCATGCCATGCCACACATTATACTAGGCCACATACCGCACAATACAATGTATTTTACATGTGTTGTATACATCTCTGAGTCTCATATTGAACAGGATGCGATGCGACGACCACCGCCCATTAACATTTAGTTAGCTATAAGCTGTTTTAGTTTTCGAGACTACCATGTATCTACAGTAAATCAGCTTCTAATTTGGCTATCAGCTGGCTTTGCCCTTTCATAACAAAAATTATAATTTGTAAACTGATCATTCTTTTCATAAATAATTTCAATTGATTTATTGTAGTATTTACCAATGTTACTAATTTTAGACATATGCAGACAGATGACTCTACGCAACTTAGATATGTAGTAGTTTTGAAAGCAATCTAAGATTAAATTATTGAAATCACTGGTAGCATTGTGGTTGTCGCATCAGACTCATGTTCGGTAGACCCAAGTTCAAATCGTACATGTACCTCAGGTTAAACACCAAAAACTCTGAGAAGCCCAATTCCACTGACTGAGATTCATTCACTAACGAATGCGACTTTGGGGGAACCTTGGTTAAGGC